CCTTGTACATGCAGTGCTGCCATCTTCTGTTTCAGTGCGTTATTACACTCTTAAATCCTACTACTCATTCCTGCGTCCTTTGTGATCTTACAAAGCTTCAAACGATGCGTCGACTATTAAATCAGTCGTCGACGATTTTAATAGTCGACATAATCGTAACTAGTCGACTAATCGTGGCAGCCCTAGTGCAGACAAGTGTGGACTTTCCACAAACAGCAGCAGAAGCAGCTGGCTGTGTCCTACAGTGGCCACCGTAGCAGGATTGTCCACGTGAATTAGGAGGAATCATCTGCAATCCACTGACATCCAGTGGTGAGACTTTACACCCTGACTTTGTATCAAAGTATCCTGACTGTCAGTGAACACACGGGCCGTGACGGCGTTCAGACTGTCGCTAACAAAAGTACACTTCCTGTCTCTGCTCTGCAGGTGTGACAGTGACCTCACAGGTGAGGCTACAGGTGTGCCACTCACCAGGTACAAGTCCCCTGGCTGAGCAGGGTCGCCTTCCAGAGTCTGCTTCCTCAGGCTCTCCACCAGCAGCGTGACCACAGCATGGTGGCAGGGGACGAGGGGGGAGACAGGGGAGGGTGGCCGGGAGGAGGAGGAGGGGCCAGGTGGAGGGGAGAACAGGGGAGAGAGGGGGGAAGGAGGAGGAGGGAGGGGAGAGTTACGGCCGTCTGTGTGTCCGTCCGTTTGGTCTGTCTCGGGACGAGAGAGGGGAGGAGCTTAGGGCTGAGACTCCTCCTTAAGGCCTCAGGGCCACGTAGCCCCACCCACTCTCACAAGAGCATCATCTGTCAGCCGTTGCTGCGGCAACACACCTAGAAAAGGCACACACACACACGCAGGTGAAGTTAAGCTGAAAAACATTGACAACTCTATCAGGAACAAAGCATCAAACAGCTGATGTTGAGAAGAAACAGGAAAAACACAAGAAAAAGACGACCACAAACAGCACTGGGAACCAGTCCCACAGTCAAGTCCCTGTTTGGAATTGTTCGTCTGTGTGTGTATTGATCCCGCTTATCAGTTCTGGTTGCACTACAATCAGCTGATTGCAGTTCACGTGTCAGAGGAGGAAAACAGGTCTGCAGCGTGTAAACGGACGTTCCTTTGACTTTTCTAGTTTAAAGTGGAGACTGCATCACACACCGTGCTAATGCTAAGCTAACGAAGAACCCAGCACAGCAGCCACAGCCTGAGCTGAAGGTAGCAAACAGCCAGGCTCAGCTACCTGCTCGTGTTTCTGCAGTAGAACACAATAGAAACTGAAATATCCTTTATTGTCCCTCGCTGTGCAAATAAAGTGTTTTTTCTTTGCTTTGTGCTCACACAACCCGTCGAAAGGGGAGGAAGACCTGCTGCTTCCAAATAGAGCACATTCATAATGTTGTAAATCCAAACCCATCATGGATTCATGATTTGAATCCTGGGTTGTGTGAAATGTTAGGATATGTTGTGCTGATCCTCGGGTTGGGGGATTTGTGTTCATACTGGAGGGCAAAATTAAAACCAAGATGGACAAGAAAAGTTCAAAGCCATCAGGTGCTCAGTTTAGAAAAAAGGGAAAAGAAGAGGAAGAGAAACAAAAGATGCAGGTAAGCAGACGTGTGATTGGTTCAGGATGACCTGCCATGATCCAATCAGAATACTTTATAAGGAAATGATGTGGGTTACAGTTGCTCCAACATGAAATGGTAAAAATAGCAACAGTAACAGACTAAACTCCAAACAATATATACAATAATAGAATATTAATTAGTCATTGTCAATTGCTGATTCGTCGTGTTCTCATTGTATGATGAATTATGATGGTTGTTTGGATACTATGCATACTCTCTCTCATCATGTGTGTGTGTGTGTGTGTGTGTGTGTGTGTGTGTGTGTGTGTGTGTGTGTGTGTGTGTGTGTGGGTGTGTGTGTGTGTGTCGGCGCTGACCACTGCTGACCTGACCGCAACAAAGAGGGGAAATTGCTCCAACATGCACAAATATTTGACCACACAGAGTGCAATTAGTGATGGTGGAGACAATAACCTCAGAATGACAATCAATAAACTCTTTATTTTCACCCCTATAAGAGACACCGAAAAACAAAAAGACGCCACCAAGAAGAAGAAGACCCCCGTGGACAGAGACGACGCACAAAAGAGACCCACGAAAACATCCACAGAGTGAAATGACTGACAGACTAAAGACTGCCTCAAAGACGCTACGACCAAACAGCCTGAAGAAACCACCATGAACGACTGGAGGAAGCGCATCTGAGACCCGACAAAAACAACAACAAAAAAGACTAAAGTGTGAAAAGGAGCTCACAGAGACTACAAACCACCTGCACCGCCGTCGAGGCGACATAAAACCCGAGGCATACCCACATAACAACCAGCAAGAGCCAGGACTGGACATTCAATCGGAAAAGAAATGTCAAAAAGAGCAAAAACAAAAACCTGACAACAAAATTACAAAAAAATAACCTCAAAAGGAATACAAGGTCCCAGAGATTAGTCTGGACCGCTCATCGCATGAAATAAGACTTTAATTATTATGTCACACAGTTAACACTCATAATAATAACAATAACAGTTTCACTCCTTCATGTCGTTACTCTCCAGTTGCAGCCTTGCATCAGTGCTGTAACTGAGTACCGTTACTCCGTTACTCGTGGACCCCCTGGGGCTCCTGTAAACCAGGTCAGGGGCCAAGAACAGGGGACCATCACCCCGTCATCGGGGCGGAACCCCGGGGTCTGGTTAGCGGGGCTCTGCTGGGGGAATATCGGCTCCGGGTACATGCCGATGACCGTGAGCCGAACCGAGCCGAGCCGGGCTGACCGAGGCCGCCGGGCACCCCCGACAGCTTGTTAGCTTGTGGCTAAGCATCCCATTGCTTTTAATGAGGGATGCTTTCCGCCCGTGTACCTGTCGGCCCGGTGGGCGGTGTGTTTGCGGAGGGTTACTCCATGAAAAAAAACACAAACCCCGGTTTGTGTTATGACGGCGGACCGTTACATCACCAGCAGTTCACCTGAGCCGCTAGCTCGCTGCTATAAATAACAAGTCATCCCGTTATTCCGCTCAAGGTCGGCACAATAAACTCAGCCATCTTGCTCGGAGGATGGGAGCCGCTGAGTGACGGCTCTGCCTCCTCCACCGCCTCCCGGGCTCCGGGGGCCCGTGCCGGGCTGCTAGCAGCGAACAGGGCGGCAGTTAGTAGCTAACGGCGGCTAACGGGTTAGCTGCTAGCTGACCCGTTAGCCGCCGTTAATGGTGTCACAAACAACCCACGAACATCAATGATGCTCCCGGTGTCTGTCCCGCCTCCGGCCATCACCCAGGCCAGGGCCGTCCGCACACACCGGACCCCTCACAGGCCCATGCTCAGCAGAACCACCGCAGGCCGTCAACAGCGATCGGAACAGCGGTGCTGACGGCGTGTGGCCGGCCCGAGAGCTCCCGGAGCGGCGAGAGGGGGGCGACACACGGCGGGATGCTGCGGGACGGAGTCGGACACACGTCCCGCTCTCTCCGGCCCGGCGCAGTGCTTACCTTGTCGGTTGACGGGGTGAGGCGGCTCCTGTGGCTGCAGCGGGCCGGCGAACGGCTCTGTGTTCGGTGTATCGACCCAGTATTATCGTCGAACACAGCGGACCGAAGCGGGAATCTAACCGCGCGGAGCGGGCATCGCAGGCTCCGGCACTGAGCCGCACATCTGCCTGGATCGGTGTCCGGTCTCCGTTATTAAAACATAATAATAATAACGAGGACTGCGCGCGCACACGCCCGTGAGCGGCGGGCATTCATAAATAACAGCTACGGTGCCAGCGGAGGAGGGGCGGGGCTTCAGCGCATCACCGGCACCTGCCGTTTATTTACGTCTGATCCTTTGATCCGGTCCGCAGTGCCGCCGCTCAGCACAGCCGAACCTGCCGCACGAACCCGGGGCGAATCTCCGAGAACGCTGCCGCGCGGGGCATGACGGGAGCTGGAGTCCGCGGAGGCTTGTTTACCGCCACAGCTCGCGTTAAAGGGCAAACCCGCAGAAACTGCGCGGACCGGGCCCGACCGGAGGAACCTCGGAGAACCGTGCAGACACCGGGACATTAAAAATAACGAAAAATGAGTAGAAATGGTGAAGAGAAAAGAGTAGAGACTAAAAGGAAATAAAAATACGTGGTTGAAACTAAAAATTGATTCTATTAATATTACATTTTTGAAATCTGAATATTTTAAAAACAAAGAGGAAGCAAAAAGACTTTGTTAAATAAACTGTACAGTGAAAATAAATTTGACAGACTAAAATAAAACTGTTAGAGTTAAAATCTAGTTTAGAAATAAGGAGTTCATCTTTAGGGTTTACTTTAAAAAAAACAAAAAACAAAAACAAAAACAAAAAAAACACGTAAAACCTGATAAAATGCGTGGATAGTCAGACCGAGTAAAAATCATTTATGGATTAAAAATATATTTAATTTTATTCAAAGCTGCATTTTAGAAGCAAGAAGTAGATTTAAACGAGCCGCTTCATCTTATTCTGCACATTTAAGGATTTTCTGTGAAAACAAACAACCCAGATGTTCTGATGGGACAGAGAAGACGAACTCGTGTTTGGAGTCCAGGTTCTTACAGCTGCACACCCTCAGTGAACACCTCTGCATGTCCAACACTTTTATGGAGAGTAGAAGAAGAACGAGTCGGCCTGTGGATCAGTAACACTTTATTTACGCCTTTATTAATCACATGGTTCAGCTTTGCTCTTGACAGTCAAGCAGCAAAAAAAAGTAGGAAGAGTAAAAAGAAAACTCAAACACAAAGATGGCCGCTCCCCTCCACTCAGCAGGGGGTCGTTTTTGAGAAAAAACATGGCGGTGCGGGGGGGAGGAGCCTGAGCCAGACAGCAGAGCACGAAGGTGAAGGTGGAGCAAAGACAACAAAGTGACACCAAAGTGAGTCGATACAGAAATGAGTGCAGAACAGGTGAGCAGTGCTTCATGAGGTCGAACGTTCAGGTGCATCCGAGTGTTCAGCTGTCCGCCCTGACGACGCGTTCACGAGCAGCCGGGAAACCTCAGCACCTGGGAGGGGGGGTGGCGGCCAATCGGATCCCTGCTGTCGTTCAGTTAATCTTCAGACACATTTAAAAAGACACGATGAGGAAACAAGGGCGAGGACTGCATCGGGTGGTCAGTACGGGTTCCACAGGAGCTGGTCGGAGAACACAGGGACCTGCTGGTCATCAGAGTCTGCACAGAGAAACAAGATGGCGGTGAGCCGACAAACAGGAAGTGAGCACATGTCACAGAACAAGACCCCGATCGCCTGCCTCAGCAGGTTTGATGTAACCACAGCAGTCCTCATGTGACCTCATGTCCCCACAGTCTGTACTTCAGGACTGCTTCAACTTTTTTATTCCAGTAAAAAGTACTCAGAGTAAGAGTGGCTCCTATTTGTGTGCAAAGCCAAACGAACCGTGCAAGTAAAACAAACACCTGCAAATTCTACTTCAGTACAAATACTTAGTTACTTCCCACCTCTGGATCTGACCAAGCCCCGCCCCAAACCAGCCAGCAAGCTCGCCCTCAGGAGTCGCCCCCTGCTGGCTGAGTTACCTCACCTTGGCCGTGGTCCGTTTCCATCAGGAGGTGGAGCCAGTCGGTCATGCTGTCATCGGTGGTCAGCTGACTGCCGAGTGAGTAGTTCAGGCCTGGAGGAGAGCGAAGCGCCCGGCGGCTCGCCTCCAGCTGCAGAGAAACAAACAGGAATAAATAAGGTCACCGATCAGCTGATGTTGTGTTTTACAGAGGACGTTAAATAAAGTTAACGCATCTTTAATGAGCCGAAGAATTTGATTGGTGACTGATTACCGGCGACACGGGGACGGCCCAGGCTCCAGGCAGCGCTGAGGGCGTGGCGGCCAGCAGAGGAGACACAGAGGAGACTTTAGAGGATGCTGGAGTCTCCTTCTCTCTCTGCTCGTCTCCAACATTCTCAAAGAGGTCAGAGGTCATCTTCTCCAGCTGACTCTGCCTAAAGAGAGAAAACACTGATGATGTCACAGAAAGGCCTCAGCTGACGAGGATCAGTTTCTGGATAAATGTCAACTGGCGCTGGGTTCCACCTACAGCTGCTCCACGGGGTCCGGCGTGTCGGCGGCATCCGGCTGGGCGCCGGTCGGAGGGTCCCACAGGTGCAGCGCTCGCCTCCACAGACGCACCTGCATGTCCCAGGAGCGCCGGCTGTACTTCCTGTACTTGTTAGGAGTGGAGGGGTGGAGCTTAGGATCCCTCAGGTGTCTGAGGAGGAGGAGAGAAACCAGAGAGGCGTGTCAGTGTCGACGTTTGAGGAACCGTCGTCCGATTCTCGGCGTCATGCTCCGGGTTCTTACTTGGGGACTTGCTGGATGTAGTTCTGGTATCCGCTGGTGTTCTTGCCGTACTGGATCTGTTTCTGCCGCCGTTTCAGAACCGCGGCGTTGGTCTCCGTGTTGGTCGGGTCCGGCAGGCGGGGGTAACAGCGGCTGATGTGGGGCCTTCACAGAGCGACAAATTACACAGGGAACACAGAAACCCAGTGAAGAAGATGCTCCAGCAGCGTGCAGTGCTGCAGGCAACGCCACAGGCCAACACAGCTCAGGGGCGTGGCCTACTGCCACCTGATGCAGGTTATGCACAGAGCAGGCCAGAACCTCTGAATGTCCCTCGTACTCACCTCCTGCTGTCCACGTCATCCGTCCCCACGGCCACGCTGCTCGTGGACACTTTGAGGATGCAGCGCTCCAGGATGGAGGACCTGAGGAAGAACAGCTGCATGAACACCTGCTGCGGCGACCTTCAGGTTTCAGTCCACGTTTACTGGTCCGCGCAGGATTAGCTGATCCTGATAACGGCTCGTTAGCCTGGATTAAAGAAGCCAAATACCTGCGTGGTTTGCCGCTGATGACTCGCTCTTGTCCTCGCATGCCGCCGGCGCCACGAGGAGACGGGATCGGAGAGACGTTACTGCAAAGAAGAGAAAGGCATCAGGAGAAACCACGGCCTGCAGAGGGCGCCGTCTCTGCCACGCTACACTGACCCCACCCCTCTGCAGGAGAATTTCATACCTGACCAGGCTGTCGTACACGGAGCTGCAGCCGGGGAGCAGCCACGGCTCGGGGGCGGAGCATCCCGAGGCGGTGGTGGTCAGCACCGGGTCAGAAAGGCTGTTCCACATGGCCGCCGACCAGCCCTTCGCGCAGACACACGACCACGGGCTGAAGAGGAAGCTGCAAGCAGACACACCCGGTTTAGAGAGTCCAGGTGAGACTGACGAGCTCACCTCAGGTCACTGAGCGATTCAGAGCCCTCGAAGGGTCGTTGACCCCCCTCCCCTCGTCAGAGTCGTTGTGATGATGATGGGGGGTTAAGCACTCAGGATTCACACCTGGACTCATCCAGGCCAACGAGTCCCGGGAGACCCCCTCCCCCCTCCTCACTGCTTTCAGCCCAGGTTTCCGTTTGTGGACGAGCGCCATGTAGAAACTACATCATTTCTGTTTCTGTCGCTACGCGAGCGGCCACACGTCTGTCAGTCTCATCCTGAGACGTCAGCACCCCAGTCTCAGCATGCAGATGTTACAGATGTTTTCAGTGGACTGATGGAACAGCTCATATCAATAAACTATACAAAGCTCGACCACACGTCCCGAGTGTGTCCCTGCTCACCTGCAAGCTCAGCCTCGTCACGAGTCTCATTTCTGGACATCACGAGGTCACAGCTCAGGTCCTTCGTCACTGACTCACAGGTTCGAGCTGCTGCTTTCAGATTTTAAGTGTTAAAGATACGCGTGTGCTTACAGTCAGTGCAGAGGTTCCAGTCTGAGGCGGCGTGCGCCAAACACTCACTGCTCGTATTTAAACTGACAAAAATAAGCTGTTGGTCTAGAATATGTGAGACGTTTCCTCATGAATGGCATCCAGTCATGTTGAGCCACAAACAGCACTCCTGTAACAGGCTGGAAGCACCAATCAGTGCTTGGCAGCGTCTTGAGTTCACCTTTATCTGTCCAGTTAAAAAAAAAAAAAAGTCTTCTTTAAAAGTAACCTGGCCGCCAGGACCGTGTTCACCGACACACGTAGTGACATTACACAAACACCAAAAACATTGGAAATCAGTTTTTGGCACAACACCGGGAGCCTGGCAGCAAGACCCGGGCCGCTGCAGGTACAGAGAACACAGGTGAGTCCGCGAACTCATACCGAGAGCTGACGTCACGAAGCGCAGACCCAGCGCGTGTTTAAAGAGAACAAACAGCCGGAAACCACACGAGACGAAGCCGCCCGAGAACCTGTCCGCGGTTCGGCTTTGTTCCGTCTCACAGACATCAGCTGCTTCGGCCCGCTCAACTTTACAAAGACGCCAAACAAACGGAACACGAACAGGTGCAGCCTGAGCTAAGAATCCCAGCTGTGATTGGCTGAGCTCAGCTGCAGGTGAGGACAGACACGTACCTGGAGGACAGCGGCGGGCTCTGCTCTGCCGGTTCCACTCTGCTCGCGGACATCTTCGGACTCACAGAACACGTCGGTCCGCTCTCACAGCCTTTAATGAGCGGCACCTGGAGCGGAGGGGGCGGGGCCGCGATGAGGGCGGGGCCTCACCTTAGCGCTCCACACCTAGCCCTGGAAAAAGAGCCACGTGTCAGGTCAAACACAAATGCAAGAA